TATTGCATAGTATATCATTTCCTAAATTATTAACATCAATAAGTATGTACCGGTACATAATACTTTATTGAAGTCGATAATTTAAGAAATATTTGAATCCACTATATCACTTGATAATGCACCGGGCAGAAGATTTAAAAATCATCATCTCTCCAGATTTAATATAACATATAATTAAATAGGCATAGTTAAGTACCACATTTGAAGTCAGAAATTTCTTAAATTATCGACTTCAATAAAATATTTTTTATGTATCACGCTTTATTGATGCTAATAATTTGGAAATACAATATTTGATTTTAATTTGCTACTGTATTTGTTTATACTGTATAAGGAATAGTTATGATTTTTAGTTTTCTTGTACTGTACGTACACACTTTATTGATGCCAATAATTTGGTAAATACAGTATTTGGTTTCAATATTCTATTTTTTTAATACTTTGCTTTGTAAGGAAATTGTGGTTTTTAGTTTTCGTGCACCTTATATAGTCCCTTGATGGATCTGTGTACCGAAGATCTCAATAGGCTTTATCTTTGAGTTCGACCCGAATCAAGTTTAAGTCGGCCGTAATTCAAAGTAACGCCATTTCGAAGGTTTACAGCATGTACGTTATATAGACTCCAGAGAAGAGATGACATACATACGCTTCTCATTTTTATAAATAGGCTCTTCCAGTTTTAAAAATTTAATTCTAAATAATTACAAAATACTCAATAATATTCAAATTAAAATTCTGGCACTTGCTTTTCAATTAATCATGATTAAAAAACATTTTTCTTTGATACTCTATGTCATTTTATTCTTTTTTTATTTCCTAACTGTGTCCTTGGCCGTTCCTGCACCAATAACCGAAAAATCTCTATTGAAACGTGGTGAAAATGAGAAAAGATGCCCAAATACTTATATTCACAATCAATTTGATGATGTTTATAAAGGCGAAATAACCCTTATTCAAGAGGAGAATGGTGGTACTTCTATTTTCGGCTTTTTCTCAGAAGGATTCGAAGAGGATGGCGAATATACTTTTCACATACTAGATGACTATCGAAATTCTCTTCATGACATAACCAAATATTTAAATATTAAATTTGTTAATGGTGGTACAGGACCATTTTCAGCAAAAATTCCCCAAAATATCGACTGTGGCGAAGATAGCATCCTAAGCAAGCATGGTTC